CTGACATGCATGACCAAATCATAACACTAACTGGGTTCTTCACAGTTGCTTGAATGCAGTCAGGCTGTAGCTGTTTTCTCCTATTCTAACGTCTTACATATTTTCGCTCATCACTACTGAATAACGATATCTTTTTCAGCATTCCATATAACTTGTGACCACGATATTTGTCCAATTAATGTTTCTTTGCCCACTGTAGTCTTTTTTTTCGTTGCTGAACAATTAAGATAAGGCTTTTTTCGTGGAATTCTACCTCTCAGTCCAACATCTTTAATCTTCTCCTGATTTTTTCTTGAACTGACAGAAACACCAGCATCATTCAGATCACTTCTGATGGCCGCTGATGACTTTTTCTATCTTGGAGACATAGTCTTTCTATTCTTCTGTCATCAATAGATGTGGTGCACCTTTTTTGCCCTTTTCCTTCTTTGTTTTTTATTGAATTTGTCTCCTGATATCGTAAACAAAACTTTCGGTTTCCAGATGTAGTCAATGAACCACCGCCTGTCTTGCAATTTCAGCATAGGAAAGACCACTTTCTCGTAACACAATTATATTACACCTCTTTCTAGGTGTCCAATTAACTCTTTTATTTGATGTCATTGCTTCTTGACTAAATATTAAAAATTTTTTACAAAAATTCCTACTTGTAATTGCAGTGTATAAAAACAGGTCCTTCTTCTACAGAACAAAGCAAAATAATGAATTGTTTTCAAGTGCAAACATGATGTCAGCTTCTACTGGCAGTTACTAACATTTGATTGGTTCTCAGAACAAGAACTGTGATTGGCCAGGAAAGGTAGAGATTACAAACCACTTCATATCTGTGTTTTTTATTTATATTAAAGTATTATAACTTTTTTTTTTTTTTTTTTTTTGTATTGGCAATAATTGAATTTTGTGTTTTGTATTGAATTCAGTAATAATCTCTTTAAATGATATATACAAGTTTGCATTTTGCGAAACGAACATTTTCTGTAAGCATACAAAGTCAAAAACATAAAAATTTTCAAAAGTGTCCACAATTTTGGCCACCATGTATATATATATATATATATACATTAATATATTTTCATAAAAGTTTATAATAAGAAATCTTCATATCCATTCCAAGGAACACAAATTAAATTAAAGCCATGAATTTTTTTTTTTTTTTTTTGGTAATGTAAACAAATGTATTTCATTTACAAGATTTTATGGCTTATGGACTATGGACTAATGCCTTATTGAATGAGTATAGTATTATTTACTTATGGTATTGAGTTGAGTGTACTTTATGGTTGAATCTAGCAATAATTTGATGCTTACATGGAAGTAAAAGAAACACTCTCTTAATTTAGTGCTGTTAATTGATGTAGATGGTTTATCTCCTTGATAGCGATTAATCTGCGATCAATGACAATACTGCTTATTCATATTTAAATTACTTTTGGTTTGGATGTTTGCGGGTTTTTAAGACTTTCTTAGCTGATTTATCAACAAGAGTGGAATTACTATTTAAATGCTATCCCCCCCAAATTTTTGTTTGAGTGTACATAATCTTTTGTAAAACCTGAGGTAGACATGCCGTTATGCCGCCATTGAAGCCTTATCAGCAGCGTTTAGTTGAGGAGAAGTATCATCGGGATGATGAATGGTGGTCAACTCAGCGTAGTTGACAGGTAAGCCATTCTGATTTTACTGTGAGGAGGGTTGGAACCAGTGGACAGAAGAAATGCCATTTACATGGCGACCAAGCTTAGGATGCCCTTGACAGATCAGTCGTCGAGAAGACCTTCACATCATACGACATGCACGCGTAGAGCCAACTGCCTGATTGGACGCCATCCAAACACAGGAAGCAGCCTCATTACGGGCCCTTGTGTCTTCCCAAACCATTGTAAGGCACCTGGTTGAAAGACAACTGGTATCACGGCACGCATTACGTGTACTACCAATGACACCCACCCACCGATACCTCTGTTTGGAGTGATATTGCATATATACAGCAGGAATGGACTTTAACGGAAGGGAACGAGGTCATCTTCAGCGACGAATTTAAATCCATTTGACCTGTGACAATCTGTCGTGTAGGAGGCCCGTGATGATATCAATCCGCTCACTTTACAGCGACACACACCGTTCAACAGTGTGTGGTATGGGGGCATTGCTTCGAACATGGTCACCCTAATAGAGATCCATGGCATAATACAGGCCACGGACGTCCATGACACCTTCAGTCACATGTGTTGCCACTCATGGAGGGCACCCAATAGCAATTTCAACAGATGCTGGCCACACCGCAGGACACAGAAAACTGCCTCTGCCACATTAACACCCTTACCTGGTCTGCTTGATCCCCAGATTTGTCACAATCGAGATTATCTGGGATCATTTGGGACGGCAAGTTGGACAGCCTACAAGATTAGCAGAACTAGAGGCACGTTTACAGCAACTGTGGAACGAGATGTCTCAGGACACTATATGGAACTTCTATGCCTTAGTGCCCGCTCATATCGCATAGTGTATTTGCACTAGAGGTGGTCCAACAGAGTACTAAAACTTCCATTCATGTGTACTTTTTTCTGCAATAAATGATCCTTTTTTTACAATTTTCTAATTACTTACTTATATCAAAGTAGTACTTAAATATGCAAAATTTCGTTTCATTCTGACAACTCTTTCTTGGTGCGCAAATTTTTATGGCAGTGAGTGTATCTTGTATTTAAAATTCAACTGGTTTGTATGTAATTATATGTGTGAATGTTTGTATAAAATTATTAATACAATATTAGTAATATGACATCCTTTTTTTCTTTGATTGATTTGATTTACTTCTAATGAAATTTTTTCATTATTGGATCCAGTAAGAGTGAAACAGGTGTCCAATCACAAAGATTACACTTTCTTTTTCTCTAATTTTTCTTTAAGGAAACATTTAAAAACTTTGATATATAACTGACACTAAGATAGGTTAAGGCTACTAAAACATTCTACAAAAAGCACGTTTGTTTTTTAATGCTGATTGAAAAAGGAAAGTGCAAGGGATAAACTCTGTAGAGAAAGTATCAGCCAAGAGACATTTTCTCTTTTCACCCAAGAAATTGGATATTGTTTTATATGCAGAACACCTGACAATTTCTTAGATTAAACTTACTGATGTCCAGTAAAAACATTTTACATGATCCTTTATTGCATTCAAATTAGTTTGACTGATTTATTTGTCCCCCCCCCAAAAAAAAAATCAAGAAAGTGGTACTTAGGATCTTAGGATATTAATAATTTTACAGTTTTCTCAGGAAGGAAGAGTACATCAAAAACTAAGAATGATGAACAATAAAGAGAAAGGCATTTTGAATGCCAAGATGGATATTTGAACTTCATGTCAGCTGAGTTATGAATGCGAAAGAAATTGCCTTGGAAGAAATCAAAAATGCTACACTACTCCAGGAGACATACAAACCAAAAAAGATGGTGAAAGAGCCTTACTGCTATGCAGACTGCTATATACATAAACACATTTGTTGTATATCTTGGGAAACATATCATTGTGATATTTTCTTCTATAGTGGCATGGAAATGAATCCATAATAACTTCAAAGTTTAAAGTTCTTCTCAGGAAAGAGAGATTTTTTAGTTGTTTTACTAACTTTTTATTAACTATTACTAGTAGCTGTTTTTCAGAAGTCATTACTTAGATGCATTAGTATTTTCAAAGGGGGAGGTAATGGGAAAATTGCTCACCACTACAAAATCAAGTAAAACATATGTTCTGATGTTGAGACACATATAGTACATGTACTTTTATATACATACAATACTGTATTTTATAATCCACTGGTAAATCTCCTCGGTTAAGTTTATTCGTGTAATTATTTGTTTTCATTGTTTGGCCTCCCATTCCCCCTCCATTCTCCTGCCATACAAAGATATAAAATGACTGACTATTCACCTGTTACAGTGAATAAAATTTATATTTATTAGTGTACACGGGGCATAAATTAATTTGATGCATAATAATGGCATGTTGTGCCATATCTTATGATCATGGCTCTGCTTAATGCAGTACATTCTTACTCTAACATGTAAAATAATTTTACATGCTATTTTATTGATATTTTAATAGTACTGTTAAAAGAATATATTTTAACACATGAAATAGTAAAACAACATGTGATTTTTTTAATCAGAGGCGATACAGAATTAATACTTATTCTTTTCTTTGTAAATTTCCATTATTGCATCTTTTATGTTCTAAAATGATCTATGAAAATAGTTTTTTTCCTCCCATATCCCTTCTCTTTTTTTTTTTCTTTTTTTTTTTTCTTTCTTTTGTAGAATAATTTGCGTGTAAAGGGTATAGCAATTACAGGTGTCTTTAACTGCTTAATTACACTACTTCTACCTAACTGCTTGCCTTTAGAAAACACCTTTTCACTTTTCGGCAAGTTATTGTCCCTCTTTAATACTTACTGTGGCCACTAGATCTAATTCAAAAGGTAAAAATTAGCAAACTTTTTGCTCACCAATTGTGGGTCTTTCATTTAATATGAAACAAGTGTTTCAACTTTTTGTTGACGTGTACTCACTGGAGCTGTACTGTATATTAGCTGGGTTCAACTTCAGCAGCACTACATGAAGCCATAACTCTAATTAGGTCTGACAGAAAAGTGCAACTAACTTTCAACACTCTCAACTCTGACAAAGTCAGCCATTCTATTTTACTGGAATAAGTTGCTATCTGGACAAGCAGCAGCACAAGCGATCAAACTTCTGTTCAGAAACTGCCGATCATATTTCCTTTTCATTCTGATGTAGGCTGTTTGCCATAAAATTTGCATAGACCTCTGCACTGAATATGGGACAAAGCTAGTCATAAAGAAAAGAATTAACACAAAACTGTTAATGAAACTTAAATGTCACAGTGTGAAAAGATACAGTTGTTATATCAGCTCACATGATATTTTATCATGAAACATTCTTAGGTAAATTGTTCATGTATATTCATAATTTGTTTCCAGGAAACAGAAGCTGAAATTGAAGATGAAGTTGACATCCTGATGAGTAGTGATGTTGTAGCAGCTCAAATATCCACCAAGTTGATCACATTTTCCCGAGCTCAGTGTGGTTGGTTGTTCAGAGAAGATAGAACAGTAAGTTAAATTTTAATTTTTATCCTGTTATTTAATGGTTTATACTGCTAGATATTGCCTTCTAAAATAAATACAAATGCTGATATAAAATTTAAACAATGCATAAAAATGTTTTTAATTAAAAAGTTTACTTAAGTACTCTTAAGTATGTCATTCAAAATGAAGTGTTTGTTGTGAGAGAATGCATGCATTGGATATGTAAAAATTGCTTCCTTCTTTGTATTTTATCAAACCTATTTGTTTTTAAAGAATGTCATTTTCTAACATACAACCTGAGTGATCTATTAAATATTAAATTTGCAGAAATAAAAATAAAGGATCAGTCTTAAGGTGGTCTAATTCTATGCATTTCAGCTTTCATGTGCTTAGTTTCATTAGATTTTAAACTAAAGATTGGTAATTAGTTGTTTCTTTAAACAAAGAGATATATTATTTAGGTAGATGAAAAAAAAAAAAAATTTGTCGAAATCATCAGTGGTGATAAGT